ATTAGGACAAAAGACGTTTTACTTCATAATTATAGAATCACTGGACCAATCCAATTTATTTTGGTATCATTAAATTAGGAGTTAAACACGTTTGAAATTTAACTAACTGTTTTTTGGAAGACTTTATCATAGAAAGCTTTTTGGAATATTTTTAGTAAAAACACAGGTTTTGACGATAGACTTTTTTCTATTCATAAAATTTTTGGACAGCCTTTATAATCCTACAAAACGCTAGCAGCGGTTGAACAAGGCACTTTTACGTTTTTTTTCCACGATAAAGATGGGCTAGCAAGCCTTGAAATTGACAGTCAAATCGCAAATAAGCTTATCAAATCACATCCCCTAGTTAAGGGAATCAGTAAAATAAGCAGCTTAGCTTCAATCCGGAAGGGTCCAAATTCAGAGCGCACCCTTTCTAGTTGGTCAATTTTTCATAATAGAGTACTACTTTTGTAACTGGAAGGGTCTCGGTATAAATTTTTGTCAACTCGGACAGGTAACAATTTTGCCAACAAGGAAGGGTCATATTTTTTCCAATCCGGAAGAGCCATAGTTTTGCCTATTTGGAGGGTTTCCAATCCGGAGAGATCCTGTTTTTGTCAATCCGAAAGGGTCATTTTTTTGCCAATTCGTAAGGGTCTAAAACTTTATACGAAAGCAAGACAATTTAGCGGATACTTATTAGGATTTTCGGACAAATAGGAAGGCCGAGAAGGACAGGGATGACATGCTTTTAAATAGAGATCTAAGCCCGGAGAGTTGGCCTAATCAAAAACAGAACTCGACATTGAACTAATTTGGATTGAAATTTGAAACTGATTTTTCTGGAAGATTGGTTGCCTTGAGATCCAGCTCGGGTAATCAGAAGGCAGATAGGTAAAACTAAACTCAGTGGATGCAATAGACGCCCAGTAGAGAATGAGAAACAGCATTCAGGTTTTGTCTGAATAGGGCTCTTTTAGAAAACAGTTCGAACAGAACTGGATCTGTTTAGTCGTTACAGAGTTAAAAAACGTCTTTTAAGTACACTCAAAAAGTTTTCAAACTTAAAGGTTCCTCCTAACTTTTTCCGCAATTGGTGTCTTACTAACCTGAAAAGTAGTGATCCGATTTCGAAAGGTTTATACTCGCTTCTAGTTCAATGCGAAAAAAAAAGATCTAAAAAATCTGCCAAAAACAATGCTACTTGGACCCCTCCGAATTGATGAATCCACTAAATCAATTTTGTTAAATTTGATTTCGCTGGGTTAGGAAGATTCTTGGAAACGGTTTCTAAACCTGTTGATTCACCAGTAAATGTTGTTCGAGCAACAATTTTTATTGCACTAACTGAAAAATTTCGAAAAATTTTATTATTTTGTGGCGTTTCTTTTTTTTTCAAAATCACGAAAAATCCAATTATTTCCAACCACGTCCGAACTAAATTCAACCGGTTGCTTGAGTTATATTAGTCCAGTTAAAACGTAACTCACTATCTTAGCGCTTTTTTTTTTCAAAAAATGCCGATATCTGAAGAATTGCGATTTGTGGGGGATCAAAATATCACTATCTTGACCCGAAAAACCGGTCTGTTTACGGTCTGTTTGACTGAAAAACGGTCTAGGAATGTTAATACGAGTAGAAAATTAGGTATTAAAAATAGTTTTAAACTCCTTCGGGTCCATTCAACATCTGAACTAAGGTGCTTAACTCGGAAACTCGCAATTCGGAAACTCTGTGCCAAAAGAGATACAAAACTTGTTAACGATACCCAACAGTCGATTATTGTTTTCCCTGAGACCCTTTCTGCTACTCCTTGCACTGCTTGCCGGTTAATGCTTCCGCACTAGTTGCACTAGTTCCGTGACCTTCCGGGTTGAGCGCAACTTAGCATTAACGTGCTTAAATACTCAAACAACCCTTCAGCGCAGGCACCAGAAAAACGCCACAATTTTGATAGTAACCTTTAAAAACAACAATATATCTAACAGCAACAAACGGTAGGGTCGGATCACATATCGTTTGGGGGATGATTTCTACTGACTTTATAAGTTATACAGTTTTTTGTTTTTTTTTTTTCGTTAATTTTTTTTTTGTTTTGGCTTTTTCTTAGTTATAATACAAATTTTGTTTTGTTTTGTACTATATCTTTAAATGTTTTTGATCCCCCCACCCTTCAGGATACCAGGATACGTGAACCTTCGGTCTTAACTAAGTTAAAAAGCTAAGCCGGGCAATACGGAAAGCTTCCGCGTTTGGAATCACCCTTCCGGCCCTTGGATAAGGGCCTTATTGAGAGCTTTTGCTCGGCGCGGAGTGCTTCGGTAATGGGTCTGCCGCTCCTGATGTTAAAAACTAACACGCAGGAGCGCCACAAAATAATATATGTAACATTCGCCCGGAAGTACATACCGATGGAAAAAACTAGGTTTCAAAAACGACTGGCTAGCGTCTAAACACAACTTCAAGGGTTTTTAACCGTCTCTACCAAAGCCAGTTCAATGATGGTCCATTAACATCGGGTTGAAAAAGTCGCTACAAATTAAAGCTACCGGCCAAAACGCGCAAACTAACATAGTAATATGCAAAAATGGTGAGCTCATACCTGGGTCTAAGTATCCGGGGCTGGGTCTCTTGGCTGGGTCGTCTGAAAATAGGGCTACTACTTAAAGATTATAGTATTATTCTTTTAATCAGTGAAAGCTTCACATGCTTTTAACTGTCTCTACCAAAGCCAGTTCAATGTGTGGTCCATTAGCATCGGGTCTACAAAGTCATTACAATTTAAGGCTATCGGCCAAACCGCGCAAGTAAACATAGTTATATGCAAAAATTTTAGGCTCATGGCTGGGTCCCAGTATCAATGGCTGGGTCTCCTAAAAACGGGGCCATTTCATAATTTCTATGATTCTATTGATTTTGTTTTGTAAATAATATACATCATATCCATCGGAGATGGATCAGCTCTTTCCATCAACTCATAGCTTCTCATACTCTGAAAAATGGATTAAATAAAATAATTCATTTCAGCACATTCCAGGAAGCTCAAAATTGATAAAATTCGGTGTCTGCAGTTTTCCCCGAGACCCTTCCGGATTCCTGTATCCTGTCAACGAGCTGTCTTCTTGGTGACCTGAAAGGATAGCAAATCTTCCCAATAGCCCTCCTGATTCTCGAGAATAGATCGGTAACGATTGTACCAGTACAATAGTTACAATTTGGAGGGTTCTTCGGATATTGATGTATACAAATTCTGATGTTCGCTATAAATCATCTACGTCTTGTTTTTTTAGCGAAAATCGCTTTTCTGATATTCGCGTTTTTTCAGTAGTCGCTAAATTTCAAGGTCATTACGTGTCTTTATTTTCGAACGAATTTTTAAAAATTGCTTCATCACCACAAATTGACCCTTCCCGATGCGTTCAAATGAACAATTTGTAACAGTCGTCCGCTAAAGTCACATATGAGGTTAAGAAGAGTAGGCCTTATAACCATTGGCTGAAGGGTCAGTGACATTACCTCCTGTTTTTTTTTGAACCTCATTCGGTCGGAGTCAATTCGGTTAGCTTAAGACGTGGGACATCAAGATCGTGTAAGAGTAGTAGTAATAGTAGTAGTAGTAGTAGTAGTAGTAGTAGTAGTAGTAGGGATTTAGTGTTTCCACAAGGGGTCCAGGCCCCTGTCATCCTTCACGTCTCATATCGCGAGTCTAGTTCTACAATTGTTTGTCGCACAATCACATGCCAGCTTCCATGTTCATTATTTCTTTCGTGTAACAGCCTAAAGAACACCACGAGAATACCCCCATCTAGAAATGAGAACGTCCCCATGGCTAGGTCTTAACATACCTAAAACACGCGAAATCCGTCAAAAGTAGGGTTAGAAACTCAAGTAAAACCTTTAGTTTTTATTGGTTATTGGACTTTTGATCCATTTCAGATAAATCAACCTAAAACCCGTCTTATCTCAACGTAATTGAGTAAATTCAATACTCTAATATTGAAATGAATCTAGACTCAAGTATTTAATGTAACTAAGATAACTCTGGAAGTCTTAAGTAAATTCTCAGTAGTTTTCTCAGTAGTATTTTTCTCTGAATCATTGGGCAGTTGGACTCCTCTACCTGCCCAATCAAATTTTCGCGTTGTTCTCTGATAGGAATTCGCGATGTTTTCTGTCAGGAGTTGATGATGTTCCCTGTACTCGAGTTGATGATTTCATTTAAATTGCGAACAGCATTTCACTGCAGCTGAATTTTCGTCAATTTTCCCGCAATATGCTTCGGAATCTGATTGAATTGACTTCTCATTACAATTGTTGCGATAAAATTGAGCATAACATGGTCGATTCGAATTTTTCAAAAATTACAGTTTCCCCCAAAATCAAGGCCAGAATTCCGAACATGACCGACTGGCACAATTAACGCCATTAATCATTCAAAACAGCCAATTTTCTCACTAAACTGCTCCAAATAAAAATTTGTCGATGACATGCATTTCAGGCCATTCTGGTCGAATGTCACGTTGGTTATTACGGGTGGAGATTGCTCAATTGATCCTTAATTTTCACAGTTCATCGACAGGATCTTCTTGATTGCTGATCTTTGTTGACGAAACTGCTTTTTCGCATTGATTAGGGTTATTTCATTAAACCCAATCCTTCTCGATTCGCAAAATAGGATAAATTACGTTCCGGAAAGTATTTTCTTTTCGCTGCATAAATAGCTCGTTCGATATTTTTTTTCTATTATTTCGTTCCTTAACGACCGATCTCGATGTTTGCAAATCCAACTTTTAAAAATAAATCCTGGAGTTTTTTGTAGCCTTCATTTTTCGTCTTTTTCGACAAATCAAGTTCTTAAGTGCTATTTTTGACCTATCATGCGCTCCTGGTGTTCAATAAAATCATTTCACATTCAAGTCAAATGGTACACAAGTTTTGTTAAAATGTTTAGTTTTAAAAGTCACTGAACGTTGTTACCGTATTTGAAAAAAGATGTCAACGAAGAGTTTTTTCCTTTCAGGTGGTATGGATGGGGTTGCATCGAAGTTTGTTGAGCCATATCAATGTATTTGCCAGAAAAAAAACATACATCTTCAGCAGCATTGCAGCAGGTAGATACGAGTCGTTTTCGAACTTCGATAAACGTTTTTCTATTGGTGTTTTTTGAATGGTAACAATCTATTTCAGTGTTGATTTTAATAACTCGCTACGGTCGCCGCTCGCGAATGAGAAATTACAGCAGTCCCGAAGCCCCGAAAGTTCATTTATAAGCTCTTTCCCTTTTTAACTTCGAGTAGATTATCACCCGTCCCCGAGTAGGTAGTAGTTATTTGTTTTATTTTTTGATTTATTGTTGCTCCTTGGTTTCTAACAGCTAAGCGTCCAGAATTAAGTTTGTAATTTTCTCTGTAAATTGTTTCAGGGTGTTTGCACAACGAATGTTTTAAAATATATCAAGAATTTTCATTAAGTTTCTGAAAAGAAAATTATTTTTTTTTCAAGTTTGACCTAATTGTTTTAAGTTTTCACTGGCGCGAGTTTTAAAAGGGGAATGTTTTCAAGTTTTTGAAAAGATTTCGACTGTTTTTTAAAGTTAATAGTTTTTGTTTGTTTCAGTTTGTAATTTTTTATCAATTTTTCTTACACTCATGTATAATTTTTATGTACATGAAATTGTTGTAGTTAGTTGACTTCATAGCGTTGAGAGTTTTTAAAGGTTTTTCTTACGCTTGCCATAGGCAAGCGTTATGAAATCGGAGTATATACTTGTTTCGGGTTAGAAACTAGGTAAAAGAATCACTTGAATCATTTTAGTTCACATTTTGCGTTGCTTAGGCAACTGCCTACAAAGACAAATGTCATGGGTTCGAACCCGGTTAGGAGATTTTTTTCTAAAACAAAGAATTTCCGCGCTTCACTTCTGTTTGTCTAATTGTTTTTTTATTGGATTAGTTGCCACAAATCTTCAAATTAATGGCAGATTTTCAAATTAATGTTCGGATTTATGGTCTCTGGTTGATTTTGTACTAAAAATGCGTGGAGCTAGTCGTAGTTTTATTTAGTTTCGTGAGTTTTAATAAAATTTATAAAGTTTATAAAATTTCATTTGAAATCGATTTTATTGCGTATAGTTTTAATATGCAAAAGTTTTCTAAAAACAAATTCATATGAAACTTTCGAAGATGATCACGATTTTCCAGAATGTTTTTTTTTCACTTTTGACATGACTGTTTTTTTGTCTACAAAAGGATGTGGCGAGTGTCGTGTGATATTCAAAAATTTGGTTCTTTCCTGCAGAAAAAATTGAAAAATAAAGAATTTTGGTGTTTTTTTTGCAATAGTTCTTATGGACCTTATCATTCTGGATAAGTTTAATGTCTTTGGGATGTTTTTATAGTTTTTTAAAGTTTTCATAGGTTTTGTGCAATTTGTTTTTTGTGACAACTGTTGCAGTCATTTTTTTTCAAGTCTTTGCCTTTAGGACATGAAGGTGGTTTGGTTGTATGACTTTATGCAAAGTTTTTGAATTCAATTAGGAATTTTTTGATCATTTGACCTAGTTTTTTTAATCGTTTCCTTCATGTATTTTAGGTACTTCATTTCCATAAGAAATGAAATGAGTTATTTTTCATTTTTTAGCCTACCATTTCTTCAATACATTTTTTAACTTTCTTTTGAAACCTACCTTTTGAACTGGCATTTTATTTGTATCGCAAGTGTTGAAACCTATCTTATCTACTAGTTATGAGCTGAGCTTCGCTTCTGTGTAGTAATGCTTTACGCTGTATTTTTGGCTTATATTTTAGCATGGGAAGTGGTGCAATCTCAGCTTTGCCTCTGTGAGACAATATTTTTTGTAAATGTTTTTTGATTCAATTTTTTTAAAACATTTTTGTCATCATTTTCTTAGTTATAAGCGAGCAATGAATGAGTGCGTATGATATCGCAAATGTCATGAGCGTATGATATCGCAAATGTTGCTTCAAAAGCAGCACAATTTACGGAATCGTTAACAGTTTTTAGAATCTTTTAGCCAATAAAAATGTGGGTACTAAATTAAGTCTAATATACAAAGTAGTGGATTCTACGTACAGTTTGTGGAATCCTCTCACTAAATAGCGGAATCTGCTTACGTTTGCGGAATCCGCTTACGTTTGCGGAATAAGCTTACATTTGCCGAATCCACTTACAAGTGCAGAAAACGCAACAACTTGCTTTATTCGTTCGTTGCGGATTCCCGCCGCACAACTAATGTGCCGACAATTTTTACGTTTCAAGGTATTTATGCGTGGATTACGCAACATTTTGTGAGCATAATTTTGAACCTACAGGAGCTTACATAGAGCAAATGGTGCGTGTATAAAGAGAGCAGTTTAGCCTAGTAATGATTCGGTTCAGTGAATTTTGGTTTCAAAAATAGTGGTAAAGTTTTCTGCTAAAGTTGGACCGCATTTTTTTTGAACGAAACATCACGTCTTTCTTTTTTAATTTCCATCTATTAGTAATGAGAAAGCAGCAACTAATGCGAGCTTTTATGGTAGGCCGATTTGTTGCTAGTTTAGGTGATAGATTTCCTTAAGATTTGCGAGATTTTATTGATTCTCATCCTTTTTTGCCGTTTTTTCATGCTTGCTCACCAAGTGCAGCTTCGCCTGTTTGTAAATCCAATTTTATCTTTTTTGCTTAGGTACTGCAATGTCTCTAGGTGACCTTATCTACCAGTCATTTGAGATCAGCAGTGACCCTAGCAAGGATAGAAGACTGTCCTGGGAGCGCAATGTCAAACTGGCTCTCTGTGGCTTCATATACTTTGTACGTTAATCTACCTTTTTCTCGTCAAATTAGGCAAAATTCCAGCACCGCTCACTGCCCCGCCCCTTAAAAATATGCGTATTTTGTAAATTGGCACCAAAGTCACCTTTAGAAACTTGCTAAGGCCAGGATGTTTAACTCCTGAGGATGGTGATAACTCATAATAGTGTGTTGCGGATATTTACAGAGCTGGATTTTAATTTTTATGACACAGATTGAGAGTGTTTGTTTTTGCATTATTGTTTTTAGGGTCCCACAATGCGATTCTGGTATGGAACTTTGGACAGACTCTTCGCACATCGGACATTTTTTCGACCCCTCAAAATGTTAATAGTTGATCAGGTAATGTTTTTTCTTGAGTGGTGAAAAATCAAAAGAAGTACCTACCAGCCAAAAAAGCGGAGCATTCGGTAGCGTGCGCAGATTTGTTTTAACGGGAGAGCGATTTCTAAAAGTTCTCGGTAATTTCGTCAACTTGGTTTAGGTCGACCAAATTGATTTTCCAAGCTCTCCCTTCTACTATAAGAGTCGATGAACATGGAGCAGAAACTTATATAGCTTATCGTGATTGTTTGTGTGGGAAAAGTCTTCAAATTTGTTCACAACCAAATTAGTTTTTTTTTGCGGTTTGATTTTTTGTTTCTTTATAAGTTCACTTCGTTTCCTTTTCATTAAAAAGAATGCAAAGTCCCTTATTGAACAGCAAAAGTGTAAAGGTGGCGAAAAGTAAGTTCGAATGGATAGATAGAAAAGTACTCCCCCATGTGACATAACGTTTCATTAGCAGATTTTGTATCTTTAATAAGGTTTTCAGCTTTCGCAGCCGAAAACAAAGCTGCCTATTGATTCAGTTTTCTAAAATTAAATTAATTTTATCTAACAAATGTCAATACTCAATTGTTTTAAAAATTCAAAGAGCTTTAAACCAAATAATTTCTACTTTGAATTTCAAAGGTTGTCATTTTGTTTCTTTGCGTTCATTGACTCTTTTCCAAAGATCTGTTTGCTGTGTTTGTTACCTGAAAAAATCTTTCTAAGAGTCGATGAACTTAGTATATATGTCGCGATGATTTGTTTCGTTTTTTAAGCTGTTCAGGCTGAAATTTTTTTTTTTCGCGGTTTTACTTTTGATTTCTTTTTAAGTTCACTTCATTTCCTTTGTTAAAAGGAAAAAATCCACTATCAATCAGCGAAAGTATAAAGGTCACAAAAAAACTTGATCGATTTCTAGTTTCGAAAATGAAGTTTCAGATATTCCATCGAAATAAAAATTTACCGATTGATCCAGTTTTCTCAAATTGGGTTAACTTTATAGAAAAAGTGTCTATCATAAATTGTTCTACAAATTCAAAAAGTTTTAAGGGCATCTACTTTTTCTTTGAAATTGGAAAGTTGGGTTATTTCTAAAAAAAACAAGTCAGTTTTTTTTTCCTGTTCAATTGCGTTCATTTGCTTTTCCATTTGTCTGCCGGCTGTTTGTTGTTAGCGAATACCCTGCGCTCTTCAATTATAATAGTGGAATCCATTGAACAAATCTCTCATTTCTGCAATTGATATTGTTTTATCAGATTGCGTTTGTTTAATTTAAAAAGTTTTAATCATAAAAGGTTCGTGGAATCCAAGAGCTTTAAGGTCGTAGATTTTGCGTGCGAAGTTGAAAATTTTTTGAAAAAAAGTTTCTTTTGTTCATGTAAATTTTGCCTATTTTGTGTTGACTGTTTGTTATGCTTGTAGTATTCGAGGGTAGGATAATATTAATTTTAGTTAGAACTTAAATTGCAAATTGGGTTTTAAGGCTTGAGTGCAGTTAGTGATTTTTTAAATGTATGTAGTCCTGGTAATTTTTGCTTCAGGGAATATTTGCGCCATGCTACATGGTGACGGTGCTCTTTGTAACCAAGCTAGCCAGAGGTCAAGATTTCACATCAATATCCAACAACTTTGCTCAAGTAAGTTCGAATTGCTAGAAAGAAAATAACTTCCCCGCCCCCATGTGACAAAACATTCAGTTTGCATGTTTTGTATCTTAAATACAAGCGGCTCATTTTCTGAACGACTGAATTAGCTCCCAGAATTGTACATATATAGTGAAACCAATGCGTCGGAACCGCAACGGCTATAGGTTACCTCAATATGAACTTGATATGAAATGTTTGCAAGAAAACAATGAAATTGAATTGTAGGTGAACCTTGTATTTAAAAAGCGTAAAAGGTGTCGTCTTGCTTTATAAGTCATTGAACCCTGCTTGAAGGTCAATTTTTGCAAATGATTTACCATTCATATTGGGGTTTCCAGGTTTGTCTATGAGAACCAAAATTGCTTGGGTAATAATTCAAATTGATAAATTCATTACAGTTAGACAAGGTGAACATTTGCCATTAAATTTAATCATATAGGGATATGAAAATAAGGCATAAATCAATTTATCTTTTCAAATATTGATTAAATTCTCAGAATTCCTGCTGAGAAAAAAAACCATTTGATCAGTATGGCTTATGTTATTTTGTTTTCAGATAAAATGTTCTTGGAAGCTTGGTAAATGTTTCCAATGTGTATGCAATTTAAAATCTAATTGCCATTATTATCTGTCACCGGCTATTTTATCTAGCTTCTCGAATTTTTAAATTTCACGCCATTTCGACCTTTTTTGTGTTTTGTGAACGAAATTGACCTTCAAGCAGGGTTCAATGTTTTATAAAGCAAGAAGACATCTTTTCAAAGAGAGACTTTTTGCGCTTTTTAATTGCCAGGCTCATCTAGAGTTCAGTTTCATTGTTTCCTTGCAAATATTTCGTATCTAGTTCCGCGCGAGTTAAGTAAAAGTTGATTCGGTCGTGGTTCGTGGTTAGTTTTGTTTCTATGCTGCTTGTGTTTTAGGACTACCCCAAACTTCTTTCTGGCAACTGGAAGGTGTGGCCCTGGGTCCAAATTGTCAACTTCACCATCATTCCTCTGCGCTTCAGGTCAGCAGCATTCAGAATGTACTCATCGCATAGATTCTGAAGGTCTCTCATTTAACCAACTTCGATTAAGTTAATCGAAGTTCAGTCACTCAAGTCGCCTATCTGGTAGAACTTGTTGCGTTGTTAATAAGAATAAATTCGATGAATTCATTCAAGCTGCTACTTTATAAGCTACTAAAGGTTAGTTACTAACTTTGCTACCTGGATTACCTGCTTTAATTTTCCTTTTTAAGTGTCAATGAACCGAGTGAAGACACTTGAAGTCGTGTTGATTTTTGTTCATTTTTTAAGTGCAAGTGTTGTTCAATGTAATTTCAAAGGGGGTACTGGAAACTTTAATTTTTCTTATAAAATATTTTTTTTCGGCTCAAAGTTTGTCTGCTCGAAGATAGTCGGCTGTGTTTCCTCTTCGTAAGTTTTGTTCCCTTGCTAATTTAATATTCAAATGTCTGACATGTTTGCCTAGAATGAATTTCTATCGAGACGTTCGTTTTTTTTGTAAATCGAATTATCGGGCTTTCGCTTGTCTGCTTGTCTTATTTCGACTTAGTTGCCAATTAGCTTGCGCTGTCAGTGATTCTCATCATAGATGAAAGTGTTGTTGATTTACTCCTGTAATCTGTAAATTTATTAGCCCTGACGTAGATTTTCCTTGGTTTTATTTTTTTCGCCTAAAAGTTTTTCGGCCTAAATGGTTTCGGTTTATGTTTTATCGGCTTAGTTACTTTGCTTTGTGTCGCTTCAAAGGCAAAAAATGATTGGTTTTTCTTCAATGTTTCAGGCAGTTTGTGTTGCAAGTCTTCAAAATTTAAAAAATAAGTTGTTCGAAATTTTTTTTTGATGACAACAATTGCTTATGACATTTTTTGTGTCCGGCTATATGGACATCTACCCGATTGCTATCAGCTTAATGGCCGCTCGGAAAACACTTGAAGCTTTTTAGTACAGGCGCTTGTGTTTTTGTAGGAAAACGCGTGTTACACTTTGAACAGATAGGATCGCGTGAACAGATAGGATCAATTAAGTTAAGGACCTTGATGATTTTTTTTTGTTTCAGAGTGCTGTGGGCCAACTTCATTGCAGTATTTTGGAACTCGTATGTTTCTCGGATGAGCAGTGTTCAACACGGCAATCTCAAAGGAACAGTTACGGCAGTGCCTTCTTAGCCTAAAACACTATTAGTGCATTATAATTAACCCATTATTAGTGCAGAAACAATCCTTTGGAAAAAGTTTTCATGTTTTTCCTAGAGAAAGAGGAAGGTTTATTACTTGCCAAGTTAACCCACGAATTACATTTGTCAAAGAATGGGCAACGTGGCTCTTTATCTCTCCCACCAAATCACATAAGCATCATTTTTTTATGGTGTAGCGAGTAATTTTACCAGGTTAAATTTCAAGACCAAATCTGTCTGTCATGAACTGCTTAGTCCGCATACAAATTTTTGTAACATTCGCACAATTTGAACAAAATTACTTTCCAAAATTTGGGGATAACGGGGGCGGCAGTTTTTTTGTTTTCTTTTTTTTTCTTATATGGCGCTTTTGATACCTGGGTTAAGTTTACCAATGAACTTTCCACTCTTTCTTCTCAAACCCATTGACCTCAGAGAAATTTTTCTATTTTATTAATATTTCACTGGATTTAATTCAATTTCATCTATTTTGATTCAAATAAATCAATGTACAGTATTGGTTCACGTGTTTTAATTGGTTAAGTATACTTGTTTTATCATTCATCCTGCTGTTTTCAGAATCAAAGCACTACATTTGTACAAAGAATAATCAATTTTATATAGATTACCAGAAATTAATTTAACTAAATCCCAATTGTAAAATATAGATATAATATGTTTTGCGGTAAGAACAATTCGTTAACGCTGGCCTTCAATGTTTCAACTTGAACAGACAGAACGCCTCGGAAATTTTCTTCTTCGGAATTGAGATACTCGCGTTTCAGTGTCATTTCATGTTTACGCTTGCGATTAGCAAGCGTTATCAAATCGGAATGTTGACTTTTTTTTACAAAATCAGTTTTTTTTTCGGAGCAACTATGGTCTGCTCAAAGATTGTCGGCCTTGTTTCTGCTTCCTAAGTTTGTACAGTTGCTTATTTGAATTTCAAATGCCTTGCTTGGCATCTTTGCCTAAAATTTCTGTTTGAAAAAAGTCTCTACCGATTTTCATAAAAGGGGTATCCATAGAAAGACCGCCTTCTTTCTTTCGTGCCTGCATACTCTCCTGGTCGCCCTGTGCTTCACCCCTTTGCCTACAGACTTCGAAAAAGTCTGTGGGGAGATATTTGAAGGATTCTCAAAAACATCTTTCAAATCTGGGAATTTGGCTTGAATGAAAATTACCGATTTCGGAACGTTTTTGAACTAAGACCGTTTTTCATAGAAACTTTCTGAATTTTCTGAAAAACTATCCTATCAAATCTGTGATTAACTTCAATCAAAAGATGCGGTTGCGCGAATTTTTCTTGCAGAAGAGGCTACTCCTTTATGTTTTGTAAAAGAAAGGTTATTTTTGGTAAAATTCCAAATTCTCAAAAATGTTCACTCTTCATTTATTTTAGTAGAGAAACAACTAAGGTTTTGGGCAAAGTCCAATATTTAATGCTGCTGCTATGCTGACGTGCTCAGCTCCATGTGAATTAAATTTTCACTAATTGCTACTGTGTGTGTACTTGTTACTACAGGGTAGTTTTATGGGTGACTTGTATTTTTGTAGTTTTTCAAAAATTTAGTTTTTTTTCTGCTTAACTGGGAAATATTTGACCGATATTTTTGATTTTTTTTCCGTTTTTTCAAAGACTAAACTACCATTTCTGAGACTTTGGTTTCAATCAATAAAACGGATTTGAAAATTAAGCTCCTTTGAATTAGCGGCTACGCGCAAACTTTTTTACACTTACTGTTATGGCTCTCGGAATTGTCAAGTTTTTGATTTTTTGATTGTTTTTTGAATCTTTTTCAACTTTTCTCGAAAACTAACCTCTCAAATCTGAGGTTGTGGGTTCAATAGAAATAACGGGTAGTGGGAAGTTATACTGTATTAGAGACTACTATCAATTTTTTTTAGAAAAAAAAGATATCGTCCTCGGCAAAGTCAATTTTTTGATGTTTTTTAATGTTTTTTTTCTTAAATTTGATGAACTTACGAAAAAATATCCTCTCATGTCTAAGATTTCAGTTTCCACCCAAAAACGGGTTGTGGGAAGCTTTTTTCCATACGAGACTACGCACAATGTTTTTTTTACAGATATCATTATATTCTGGCCGTTTTTGAAACTTTTTGACTTCTCTCGAGAACTACCCTGCCAAACCTTGGTTTTTGGGTTCAAACGAAGTTATAGTTTGGAAGAATTTTTTCTGCAAAAACGACTACGCCCAATTTTTTTCAAACAAAAAGCTATGATTATCGGAAAAAAGCTATGATTCTCGTTTTGTGGACTTTTCTCGATAACTATCCTGCCAAATCTGATATAGGTTTAATCGACACAGCAGGTTGTTGGAAACTTACCTTTATAAATTGCCACGCCCAGTTTCTTTTGCATACAGTATGTCCTTTGAACAACTGAAGTTTTTGAAACTTTGACCGTTGTTTGGAAACTTTATGACTTTACTCGAAAATTACCGAAAATCGCAGGTTACGTGTTCAATCGAGAAACAGGATTTTGGGAATTGTCTCTTCTTTACGATCTCTTCTTAAGCTGAAAAAAAATTACGGCAATTTTTTGAACTTTGACTGCTCCTTGGACTTTTTCTCAACTTTCCTAAAAACTACCCTATAAAATCGAAGATAAAAAAGTGGTTGTGCGATTTTTTCTGTGCAAAAGTGGTTACGCCCTAATTTTTTCTAAGAAAACCGTTGTGTTTTAGGAAAATTTTCAAAGTCTCAAAAAATTTTACGCTTCTTCATTTTTTTAAGAAACAACTAAGTTTCTGGGCAAAACCAATTATTGAAAATACGCATTTCGTCCTGCATCACGCATCAGTATAAAAATTCAATAAAATCAAACACGTTTTTCTAGCTTAAGCTGGGCCCTAGGTGTCCTTTATTGAGACCTACGAAATTTTTGATTCATCAATTTTTTTCATCATGAATCTAGAAGGGTATAGTTTGGGAGAATTTGGTGCGAATTTCTCCATACGAGACTACGCACATATCCGATACGTGTTCAGCTCCATATCTAAAATTTCTGGAGCTGAACTTTCTAATTTACCATTACAAAATCGTACAAATCTTAAATTTTTGCGGAAATTTAAGATTTGTACGATTTTTCATACAAAAAAATGTATTTTCAAAAAAAGTTTTCTGTGCAAAAGCGGTTACGCCCTAATTTTTTGTAAGAAAACCGTTGTGTTTTAGGAAAAATTTCAAAGTCTCAAAAAATTTTACGCTTCTTATTCATTTTTTTGAGAAACAACCAAGTTTCTGGGCAAAACCAATTATTGAAAACACGTACTTCGTCCTGCCTCACTCATCAGTATAAAAATTCAATAAAATCAAACACGTTTTTCTAGCTTAAGCTGGGCCCTAGTTGTCCTATATTGAGACATACGAAATTTTTGATTCATCAATTTTTTTCATCATGAATCTAGAAGCGTATAGTTTGGGAGAATTTGGTGCGAATTTTTCCATACGAGACTACGCACATATCCGATACGTGTTCAGCTCCATATCTAAAATTTCTGGAGCTGAACTTTCTAATTTACCATTACAAAATCGTACAAATCTTAAATTTTTGCGGAAATTTAAGATTTGTACGATTTTTCATACAAAAAAAATGTATTTTCAAAAAAACTTTCTGTGCAAAAGCGGTTACGCCCTAATTTTTTCTAAGAAAACCGTTGTGTTTTAGGAAAAATTTCAAAGTCTCAAAAAATTTTACGCTTCTTATTCATTTTTTTGAGAAACAACTAAGTTTCTGGGCAAAACCAATTATTGAAAACACGTATTTCGTCCTGCCTCACGCATCAGTATAAAAACTCAATAAAATCAAACACGTTTTTCTAGCTTAAGCTGAGCCCTAGGTGTCCTATATTGAGACATACGAAATTTTTGATTCATCAATTTTTTTCATCATGAATCTAGAAGCGTATAGTTTGGGAGAATTTGGTGCGAATTTCTCCATACGAGACTACGCACATGTCCGATACGTGTTCAGCTCCATATCTAAAATTTGTGGAGCTGAACTTTCTAATTTACCATTACAAAATCGTACAAATCTTAAATTTTTGCGGAAATTTAAGATTTGTACGATTTTTCATACAAAAAAATGTATTTTCAAAAAAAGTTTTCTGTGCAAAAGCGGTTACGCCCTAATTTTTTGTAAGAAAACCGTTGTGTTTTAGGAAAAATTTCAAAGTCTCAAAAAATTTTACGCTTCTTATTCATTTTTTTGAGAAACAACCAAGTTTCTGGGCAAAACCAATTATTGAAAACACGTACTTCGTCCTGCCTCACGCATCAGTATAAAAATTCAATAAAATCAAACACGTTTTTCTAGCTTAAGCTGGGCCCTAGTTGTCCTATATTGAGACATACGAAATTTTTGATTCATCAATTTTTTTCATCATGAATCTAGAAGCGTATAGTTTGGGAGAATTTGGTGCGAATTTTTCCATACGAGACTACGCACATATCCGATACGTGTTCAGCTCCATATCTAAAATTTCTGGAGCTGAACTTTCTAATTTACCATTACAAAATCGTACAAATCTTAAATTTTTGCGGAAATTTAAGATTTGTACGATTTTTCATACAAAAAAAATGTATTTTCAAAAAAACTTTCTGTGCAAAAGCGGTTACGCCCTAATTTTTTCTAAGAAAACCGTTGTGTTTTAGGAAAAATTTCAAAGTCTCAAAAAATTTTAAATTTCTTATTCATTTTTTTGAGAAACAACTGAGTTTCTGGGCAAAACCAATTATTGAAAACACGTATTTCGTCCTGCCTCACGCATCAGTATAAAAACTCAATAAAATCAAACACGTTTTTCTAGCTTAAGCTGGGCCCTAGTTGTCCTATATTGAGACATACGAAATTTTTGATTCATCAATTTTTTTCATCATGAATCTAGAAGCGTATAGTTTGGGAGAATTTGGTGCGAATTTTTCCATACGAGACTACGCACATATCCGATACGTGTTCAGCTCCATATCTAAAATTTCTGGAGCTGAACTTTCTAATTTACCATTACAAAATCGTACAAATCTTAAATTTTTGCGGAAATTTAAGATTTGTACGATTTTTCATACAAAAAAAATGTATTTTCAAAAAAACTTTCTGTGCAAAAGCGGTTACGCCCTAATTTTTTCTAAGAAAACCGTTGTGTTTTAGGAAAAATTTCAAAGTCTCAAAAAATTTTACGCTTCTTATTCATTTTTTTGAGAAACAACTAAGTTTCTGGGCAAAACCAATTATTGAAAACACGTATTTCGTCCTGCCTCACGCATCAGTATAAAAACTCAATAAAATCAAACACGTTTTTCTAGCTTAAGCTGAGCCCTAGGTGTCCTTTATTGAGACATACGAAATTTTTGATTCATCAAGTTTTTTCATCATGAATCTTTTTTTTTCAACTTATGCTTTTTTATGATTGTGTTGTATCGCATGTGGTGCGTAGCTTCGTTTCGCGTCTGCGGAATGTCATAATTTAATTTGGTCTAAATTGAGTTGTCAATTTGTTCTGAAGCAAAATCTGACGTCAATAGAGTATATTTACTAAGGCTGATATACAGTTAGGTTTAATGATTAGAATATGTCAGGTAAATATATTTTAAAGAATTATAACAATTTTTGTTTGAAGCGTTTTTG